CTTACTCTTGTGGCTTCATAGCCTTCAGTTACAACCTGACGAGCGTCAAGTTTAGCTCCTGAGCTTCTCAAGGTGTGTGTTCCGGACATTTTCATGTACCCGTTAGTTGGTTTCAATAGTATACGGCGTGTTCAAAAAAGTGTAATAAGTGTATATGTAGCGTAGCTTATGTAAAGCTATGCTACGACGCGACTGAACAGAACCGAGTGATATTGAGCAAAAGGACGACGGATACATGAGCTCTCGTAGGTAGTTTATATGTCGTTCGCTCGGAATATAGTTCTACGGGCGCCATATGGTTATACGGCGCCCTCTCAGTTGTAGTGATTAACCGCGTCCAATGGGACGCGGTGGTTACTGAATTCATCATGCCGCGGCGGCGGCTTACAAAGCGTATCAACGGTAATATTATACTACCGTTACACCATCCACGTATGAATTTTTGGTTCCATTCATGACGCGCATGCTAAGCACATATTTTCATGTATCACGACGCGTTTCCGTTACATACCAATACTTAATCAAGGAACAGAGCGATCTCTAGTCCTACAACGCGGACTTCACGATCGCCCGCAACTCCTCGTCCGAGATCGTCTTGATCCCCAGCAACTCGTTATCCGAGTTCTTCCACACGGGGCCAAATCCTGGTCATAAGATGGAATACTTGACCAGCGAGATCGCCACCTCCATATCGAAGATGCCCTTCGCAAGTTTCTCGTCTGCCCTCGCCTTCAGGTCCGCCGACTTGCTCTCCGTCACCTCCCACGTCTCCCCGGGCGTCAGCTCCTTCGCGATCCCCAGCAGCTTGCTCTGGCTAACGACCGCCTCGTGGAAGTACACGGCCCGGTTCTTCGTCTCTTCCAGATGCTGCAGCACCGCGACCACCCCGCGGCCGAGCGTCGGGAGCGTCGTCGCGCTGAACTCCTGATGCCCGCCGTCGTAGATCTCCACTTTGCGCTCCTCCAGCGAGCCGACCAGGAACCCGGCGTACAGGCCCCAGTCGAGGAACGGCCCGGTGCTGACGATCGTGTACGTGAGGTCCGACTCGGCGACGACCTTCTTCAGGTACTCCTGCACGGCGACCTTGGGCGCGAAGGCGGGCACGGCACGCACGGCGGGGTGCTGCAGGTCGTTGCCGAATTCGGAGGGGAGAAAGCGCTTTACGCCCGCGGCGACGGCGGCGTCGATGATCTTAGTCTGACCTGCGAGCGCGGCGGAGGCGACGGCGGACACGACGGCGTCGACGCCCTGGAGCGCGGCGGTGAGCTCGACCGAGTCGTAGTCGACCTTGCGGACGGTGACGCCCGCGGGGAGGCCGGAGGGGTTGTCGGAGCGCGAGAGGACGACGACGTCAAACTTGGCCGCGACGAGCTGCTGCACGACGGGCAGGCCGATGTTACCGGTGGCCTATGAGCCGGGCGTTAGATCCTCGCTGAAACATGGAGGTGTGATGAATCGCACTTACACCTGCGACTGCGACTTTGGAAGCCATTTGTGCTGTTCGATGTTGGGAATGTGCGGTGAGGGGCTGATTGCTCGGTTGTTGGATGGCTCTCGACGCTCTCGTTCACATCTTTTATGGTGAATACCACGATCGCTCGTCGCGTCGCGTTGCTCAGCTCGCTGTGTTCTTGCTACGCATTTCTGAGTTGGCCATCGCAGGCGCTGTAAGACCAGTTCCTGGATCTACTCGGCTGACGAAGGGATATTGGTACGGGCGTCTGCGAAGTGCATCAGCATCGGCACCGGCCTGAAGTTGGTCACCGCCCTTCAGCCCCAGTGAAAACGACCAAGTTTGAGGGCAGTTCACACAGGATGTTGCAGGAGGAATTGCAGCATAAGCGACCGAAGCACCAGAGTGAAGCGACCACGCAGGACCTCGCTGTCATCCGGGGACAACTGCGGTCATACACGATTTTGAGACTTAACTACATAGCCACCGTTTGGCGAGGTGTTGAAGCAGAATCTCATCGGTTCTCCCGGCTAATGTAGGATGTGAATTAATGTAGCATGAATGTCGCCGAGAGCCTCGGGAATCGTACGGATTGTCCCCGGATCCCGAAGCCCAAGCATTCTAACACATCCGGTCAGATACACACTCTGCCCGAATCTCATCGGGTCTGAACGAATCACAAGCAACGTTATTCGAAGGCAACCCTAGCTATTCTACTCAGGCTATCTCTCTAAATTCATATATGACGATAACAGATACGGATCGATGTGCAAGAACTTGCCTGTGAGACTGGATTCAACACCACAATCTGCCCGAACACCTTCCTCGCATCCAACACTTCGAAAAGCCGCACTTTCTCCCCAGCG